AGCTACTTCCATGTCATAAAGGCTTAGTCATGTCTCTTGACCAAGCAATGAGCTGGTGCCCTGACAGTTTGCCATTTCCACTGACCTGTATGCAGCATTCTCCACCAGTTACAGTGCTGCAATGCCCAATCTATGGCATGACTGAGTGAAGGGTTGGATGGTGTACTCTGTACCCATCATGGTGTGGGCAGATGATGTCTCTGGCAACATGTCCAAGGCATAGAACAAACACATATGCATGTGTGTATCAAATCTTATGCTGCTGCGGACAGCACTGGAGCATGAGATGAACATCCACTTTGTGGGCACATCTCAATTTGCCTCCCCACTCAAGCTTATGGAGGGTCTGGTGCACATGATAGAGTGAGTCCTGTACCCCTCCTTGTTGATCCACCCCTCACTACTAAGCCAATAGGAAAGTAAACACTGAAGGATGTGAAGTGTTCAATGCTCAAACACACATGCCCATTCTGTTCAAAGTCTGGGTTACTATTCTGGCAGGTGATAACCTGCTGCAGTCTGAGCTCTGCAGCCACAAAGGTATGCATGCAAACAAGTTCTGTAGGAGATGCCAGGTAGGAGGCACCACTGCATTGAAGCATGAAGATGTGGGCTATGCTCAGTTATTTCAGGTCAGTCTTCATAGCCCACTGAGCAAGTCCAATGCTGATGTATCTGCCCAGCCAGGTGAGCCTCAAACAAAAGAACAAACAATCAACCACATCCAGGAGATGATCAACATGGTGTGCAGCCCAATCATGTAACAGCAACTGCTCTGTACAGCTCTGAGCATGGTATTTGTGATGCATTTGCTGACTTTGCAGTCCAGGAGCTTCAAAAGGTAGGCAGAACTCTGTGCAGGAGCCATACATATGACCCCAACCAACAGCAAGTGACAATGAGCAACATGTGGCTGAGAATTGGTGCCCCCTTTGCTCTGAACCCTCTGCTGTGATTAAACCATGAGCTTTCTTCCTAATAGAAAAGGTATGGATGTGTGTGGGTCTGACACCACAGCAGACCTTGATGTTCACATTGCCACCCCAGTCAAAATTTTGCACACATTTTTGCTAGGCATAGTCAAGTACCTGTGGAGTGCTCTGATCGAACACCTTGAGGTGAAAGCCACTCAAGTGCCAGACAGACCCACACATCCCCTCGACACTGGAGGAGTAGCTCTGCTGGAGATGAGACTGGTGTCTCTACACAAAAGTGGATGGAATGTACCCAAAATCAACACTGCCTATATGATTCAACACCACTGGCAACTTGTGGGGAAGCATTTCAAGACATTGGCCCAGTGCATGCCATTCATCATTGAGGACATAGTCGCCTTGCAGATGCTTGAGGCTTGGGTTCTGGTTGGCATGACTGGGGTCATGTTATGGTCATATGATGTGGTCAATAAGGTAGAATTTGAGGTGAGTGACATCTTTCTCCCCTATTGCCCCACCCACTTCTGCTACATCTACTTGCTTGCCTGGGTGATGATACCAGCCATGATATTCCTTCTCAGCACCATACTGACCCTCTATCACAGGCCCAGTTGCAGATGATGATGACCATGCTCATTCATGCAGTTGCAAGGATTGATCCCATCAAGATGATTAGCAAGATGAAGCTTCACATAGCCATGCACACCATGGATGACTTCAAGCAGTTAGAACCAGTGGTTCTATACTCAACTGAATGGTACAAATTGTTCAATTTTGTTTTCTGAGCTTGCTCAGTCCTCAGCAATCGGCAGTCTCTGAGTTGAGACATAGCCCACACATTTGCCCAATTTAAAAGAGTGAGGCACATCTTGACCGGGGGTTATTGGAAAGACTCAGCTACCAGGGACTGGAAGCAAGCTGGTTGAGATGTGCTGCAGATGATCAACAATAACAAGGTCATGCATGAGCTGCTTGGTCTCAAAGTTGAGGAGCAATCACAACCATGTAAGTAGCACCAACAACCCACCCCCATACTACTACTCTGACTATGGATACAGGTGTCAATGGGAAGGATGCCTCCAAAAGGCCATGCCGTTGGGTGGACACCAATGCATATGAGCTTGCAGAAGGCATCCCATGGGAGTTGGATGATGAAGTGATGTTTGCTACCCAGCTGGTAGTGATGAATGGATATCAAGCCAACATAGAAGCATTTGTAGTGTGGAGGGACAGGGGAAGAGTATGTTTACTGTTGCATGTATGAAACACCTCTGATGAGCCTGAACAGCAACTACAACTGGGACAAATCAAGAGCCTGTTACGGCACACCAGCAACACTGGAGGAACCACAGGAATTGCAGTCTTGCAGGTCTTCAAGATCAGAGAAGACCATCCTGATCTGGCATGTCTGCAGTTGACAAGATTGAGCAGAAGGTCAGTGGTGGAGGCAAAGGTGAGCATGTTCAATGAGCAGGAATGTGAAGTTGATGAAAGATGCACAGCATGTCTTGGCTTGTGTCAATGTGCAGCATGATTGCAGCCTGGGAGGATGGTGTCAGAGTTGAGACCATCAACCCTGATGACAAGAGTGCAAGTTTACTCAGGCAAAAACCACACAAGTGCAACACTGAGATGATGGTTTGTTCTTGCTCAACATATTTTCCTTCCACAACAGTGCACTGATTCAAGAATTGCACAGTCAGAGGCAGCAAACACCACTGTTCCATGTGGACCTTAATGCTCTCAGATGCAGTCTCACAGAGCACTTGAGGAAAAGCTTGACCAAGACAAGACAAGGTGGGTTGGGGGAAAAGGATATGCAAGTGATGTTGCCAAGCAAGTATAGTAGAGGGGGTGGACTGGATGATGGAAGTCATCTGTGAGCTATCATTGCTATTTTCCAAATTCAGAATAATGAGCAGGCTGACATGATTTCCAATCAATTGACAATCTGTGGGCCTGGGAAGATGGGCCCAACCATGTGGAAGCAAGCCACATGCCCAAACATGGAGTAAAAAAGAGTGAGATCTTTCGCATGGAACTCCTTTGCAAGTCTCCCTCTCTGCTCTGTCTTGCTTGCTCTCTTCTACAGAGTATCCCCTGGAAGAACACTATGTCAATGGACTGGCTTAGTGCCATCTGACCCCTGCTGCCACAGCCAGCAGAGGAAGAATTGGCTGCACATTCTCAAGTGGTGACAGGTATGCTGGGCGAGGAGAGCAGGGAGCAGTCTCTGGTGGAAGATGATGAAGATAATCATTGGCAAGAGCAGCAATGGTCCATGCAGGCCACAGCTGGACAAGAGAATGGGTGAGCACCCAAATCATAATAAGGATGGGAATCACTCACTGACAGCTGTGTAGGCCTGCCCAGACTCCATCATCATCAAGTATGTGATCCTCAAGCATAAACTCATCCTGAGGGTTCTGGCCGGTCAAAGGCTGGTCAGATGTTGCTTGCCTTATTGGCCAGAAAAGAAAATTGATGGAAGAGGAGCTTGATGAGCTGCTTGACTATGCCACAGATGTGCATAATTGCCTGAGATATTTCCTCTGATGCCCTGTTTTCAGAAACAAACTACCTGTTATGCCCCTCCAGATGCATTTTCTCCAAATGCCCCATCTTCTTCAAGGGTTCACAGCATTAGCAGCTGAGAAGCCCAGGAGAAGCCCACCTAAAATCCCTGAAGTGTGAAAGGGTAGCTCAGGGGTCCAATTTATAAGCATGCTCATTTATCTGAGGATACACTCTGTGAAAAATTGAAAGAAGTCTATCTATATGTCTTATTATATATATATATTGATTTCTTCTTTGATTTTCTTTTTTTGTAATTTTCTAAGTGAATTAAGAACTAACTCTGGTCAAGCAGAGGCCAGGACCCTTAGGTAACCCATTTTCCTGTTTGGGGTTTTCAGCACAGCTTCTAAGCCCTAACGCCGTGAACCCTTGAAGAAGACGGGGCATTTGGAGAAAATGCGTCCGGAGGGGCATAACAGGTATTTTGTTTCCGAAAACGGGGCATCGGAGGAAATACCTCGTAATTGCCTTGACTTCCACCCCCCCTATATTAACTACTATCCCACCTTATGATGGATGATAGCCTGATCCGCGATCCAGGGAAATCAAGGCATATGCCAACACCATGATGGCTCGCGATGCCATGCAGGACGCGGCCAGGAGGCATGACGAAAATTGGAAAGTCCCCGCCAACTTCAGAGTGAGTGCCCATCGTTGCTGATTTGCAGAACTTGACGGTAAGACTCAGGCCGAGTTGAAGAAGGACGTGTACATGTACTTGTTGAGCCCCAAGTGCCCCTCGTACGTCCAATCTGCGTGTAACATTATGATGGCCAGTCTCCTCGTATCCGCATGTGCGCTCCCAGGACTTACGCAAGCGGATGACAGGACCATTGCAGGCGGAGCCATGTGCGCATGCACCTCGAAGAAGAGTGGTTCGATGACGAGACAAAACGAGCCGAGATCTTTTCAACGATCTCGAGAACCTTAACGGACCGGAGGAATTTTGTCCAGAACAAGGTTCGTAGACATGTTCAGTGCACGATCAGCGAACTGACCTCCAATATGCAATGCTTTTCACTATTACACCGGCCTTTACCATCCGCAACCCCACCCACAGCTACTATTTTCCATGCCGTCACGCGCTCCGTACCCAGCCCCAACATATACATCGCAATGCATGATATACGGATGTAGTTGGGAGAAGTATTTGACGTCGAACCTGGTTGTTGTACAGGGTAAATTCACCCTCAAACCGTGGCCGTTCGAGTACGACCTGTCGCACTGGGTCCGATACGCTTTTCTTGTGAGTGCAACTTCACTCGAGCAGCGCAGGGGTTGCTAATGGCTGGGTTCAGCGAGAGATCATGAGGCAGCACTCCCAGCTCGGTGACACCACCGTAACCAACGCCCAGGGAAAAGAAGAGAAAGTGCCTAAAGAATACTTTCTGTACGTGGATCACTGCATGAAGGCTGCGAAGGAGGAGCACTGAAAGGATCAAGTGACCTGGAGCGCGTACGTGGCCTGCAACCCTATGACCTGTGACTCTTTACTGATGTGTTATACAGGTTCATGCGTCTGTTCTTGCAGCAGGACCTCGAGACATATCCTGTAGGCAAATCGACCCCGAGCAACACCAATACACCAGGAGTCTGGAAATCAGCCTCTCAGATTGAAACAGCGGCAGCGGCAGCGGTGGAATTCGATAATCGTGAGAAGGGCACGGAATAGATCCCATGAGTGTTAGTAGTTGGGGGTGGGGTCGAAAGGGGGACATCCAAATATGATTTGACCGTAACATGCGTATTATAGTATTACCTATTATCTGATTGACAATGATTGGGGTAAATATAATATCATGGTCAGTCACCCTATACAAACAACGTGGCCGAACGATGGGGAGGAAGGGTGAACGTGACCGGCGTGGATGGTGTGGAGCACCGAGCATGCCTTCATGTGAGACGAAGAGGCCGGGTACGAGCACGATGCTCAACCTTGTGTCGATATACAAATGTGAACGGGGGTACGAAAGCGGCGCCGTTCTTGTAGCATGCTCATTGGGTCGAGGTGAGGTTAACATGGACGAGTGGGGAGTGCCTGACCAAAGGTTCATGCCGAAATCGGGTGGAGAAGGGTCCCTGGTGTAGGCACCACTATCCTGTGTGCAATTATTGTTCCCTTGAGTGTTGCCACACCCATCCATGAAACGTTGGGGTGTAATGTTCTGATTCATTCAAGAACATGTCGTAGGTTCCGCAAGGGAGATTTTGACGTGTGTTATCAGAAGCAAAGAGGGTCAGGTGAGCGAGTCTCAACGTAAGAAATTAGGCGTGCGTGTCAACCATGCCCACGCATGACCTGTGAGAGCACAAAGATTGGTGTCACAACTCGAAAACGCGATTTTGCCTTCAAAAACCTTGTTACGAGTCCCTGGAACAGGCCAAAAGAAACGATACAGACATCCCGTCACGCAAGTCCAATCGGGCCAACATCAGACGAGCACCTCTCCCCGGACTTCCGGTATCAGAAGTCCGGGACCCTGACTTCCCCGCTTGGTTTGGCTTTTCCCGGGTTTCCCTCCGCTTCTGACCCCGTTCCGTGCGCTCCGTAAGGATAGACAATCAGCCTCGCCATCTGCCGCCTCGGGTCCGGTTTTCCACATCCGGCAAGTGCCCAGGTTTTTTTTGGTTGCTGCTTGGGGTTTTGAATTTGCGTGACAAGGGCTGGTGGGAAAACTCGCCGCATAGAAATTGAATGCGTTGCGGTATGAGAAGGTGATGTGGCCTGGTGGGCTCCACCATTGGCTCGTCTATCGGTCCAACTTTGAATTGTTCCTATGATACCGCTTGACGAACGTGGATTAGGGACGGGGCTAAGGCGCTATGCTCGCCTCCGAATATAAGCAGGATAGCTTGTGTTGCTCCTGTGTCGCGCTCGTCCCATCAGACGTTCGAACAGACTTGCCCAACCGGTACGTAAACCATACCGGTTCGCGGTGCCGGGTTGCAAGAAAGGAGTTTGGCCGAGACCGATGGAATCGCCGGAAGGACCAATCCATCATTGGTATCTGTCTCATCTTGTCATGATGTGAAGGTGATTCGGTCGGTCCAAAGGGCGGTATCATCCAGAGACGAGAGAGATCCCGATACGGTATAGTGGGCGGTTGCTACCCCGTCGATAGGAATTTCGATCGTGTCTCTTTGGATTGTGGATGGCTACCATTTACAGCTTCGAATACGGTAGAAGATTTCTAAATATATGCGTCAGACTTATGGCGGACAAGTGGAGATCAATGATCTGCTTTATTTTTACCTCATCCTCCATTGGGAGAATGCATTGGCGAGCGTCTCTGTTGAGCGGGGAACAGAAAGTGTGCCTTGGAGTCCCTACGTGGCGACGAACGTGTCGCCCGCGGGAAAAACACGGCGGTCGGCAAAATGGTATCAAACACTAATATTAGCGTCGTCTGGGCCACTCTGCCCGTATTCTCGGTCAAAACTCTTCTACTGAGATTCAAAGCAGTAAAGGTGAAGGTCCAGGTCCAGGTCGAGGCCTTTACGGAGAAATAGGACTTCGTCAGGGCGGGCGCCATCCGAATTGTAGGCAGGGCAGCACCAAAAAGTCATGCTGACTACGTACCTGCAGGTTGCGCACTTCGAAGTCACGTCCACAAAAGTGGTGACCAACATGACATGGTGATGAGACGACACCACAGACGTAACGACCACATATGTTCACGTGAATGCGAATTCATATTGGTGTTCTTGTCCAGTGTTGGAACATTAATTGCGATTGAAACACCCCAATGGTTATTCCGTGATAAGTCCGAGCCGATCGCGATATCAGCTTTCAATTTATTTTCGCCTAATCGAAGTCTGTGACCGTTGATATCCTGCTCGTCTGCTCGTCAGCCCGTCTTCACAGAAGAGTGATTGGAGATATCCAAGGTGACGATCACGATAGCCCGTAGTGACTGGTCTTGGAAGTTTAAAAAGGAGGTTGAGTTCGGGGAAGAACGGGCTGTGAACGCCCGTCGATTGGAGCACGTCGCGTTTTGAGTTGAACGGGATCAGTCGACGACGTCACAGACAACCCTGAGCGACAGAACTGGGCATTCACAGCAGAGGTGAGAGTTGCTCCAACTCCAATACCTTCCTTCTCCCCAATCCTTTCATTCCTTCATCCATCCTCACGATCATGTCGTCTAACGGTGATGCAGTGCACTCCGATATGGCCGTGCTCGACTCTGCGCCATTGCTCAAGCTAGACCCATGGCTGCAACCGTACATACACCCAATCGCGTCGAGATATGCGCACTTCATGAAATGGAAGACGACAATCCAGGACACGGAGCACGGCTACGATGCATTCAGCAAGGGCTGGCTCAAGTTCGGCCTCAATGTCGCCAAAGACGGCTCAATCACTTATCGCGAGTGGGCACCAGGTGCAACGGAGGCGAGCTTGATCGGCGATTTCAACAACTGGGACAGGAGTAGCCATCCCATGACGAAGGATATGTTCGGTGTATGGAGCATTACTGTGCCACCGGTCAACGGACAGCCCGCTATTCCCCACGATAGCAAGATCAAGGTGCGCCGTGCTACGCGGTGGTTGTAAATGCACCTGTCTAACGTTGGATAGATCTCTATGATCAGCTCCAACGGGGAGCGTGTCGACAGACTCCCTGCCTGGATCACTCGCGTCACTCAAGAGCTCGCTGTTTCTCCTGCCTACGATGCACGCTTCTGGAACCCACCCACAGGCCAGAAGTACACCTTCAAGCACCCACGTCCTCCCAAACCCCAGGACCCTCGCATATACGAGGCGCACGTTGGTATCAGCACTCCCGAACCTAAAGTCGGCACGTACAAGGAGTTCGAGCAGAACGTGCTACCCAGGATCAGAGATGGGGGTTACAACACAATCCAGTTGATGGCTATTCAGGAGCACCCATACTATGCATGTGCGCACCGGATGTGTTCCTCTTTGACCACCAAGCTAACCATATGCATTTAACATGCAGCCTTTGGATACCAAGTCACGTCCTTCTTTGCTGCATCCTCCCGCTATGGCACCCCAGAGGAACTCATGTCAATGATTGACACCGCTCACTTTATGGGCTTGACAGTCCTGCTTGATGTCGTACACTCTCACGCTTCTAAAAACGTGCTCGATGGAATCAACGAGTTCGACGGCACAGACCATCTCTACTTCCACGGCGGTGGTAAGGGAAGGCATGACCTGTGGGACAGTCGTCTGTTCAACTACGGCTCGCATGAAGTGCTCCGCTTCCTCATGTCAAACCTGCGCTTCTACATGGAGGAATATATGTTCGACGGGTTCCGCTTCGATGGTGTTACTAGTATGATGTACGTTCACCATGGTATGGGCACGGGCTTCTCTGGGGGGTATCACGAGTATTTCGGCCCTTCCGTTGACGAAGAGGCCGTGGTCTACCTCATGCTTGCAAACGACATGCTACACTCGCTGTATGATGGTGTCATCACTATTGCCGAGGATGTCAGCGGCATGCCAACCCTCTGCCTACCTACGGATATCGGCGGTGTTGGCTTTGACTTCCGCTTGAGCATGGCCATCCCAGACATGTGGATTAAGCTTCTCAAAGGTATGGTCTATTTATATTGATCAACGAGCGGCACCTTACTTGATACCTGCAGAGAAGAGCGATGACGAATGGAATATGGGCAACATCGTCCACACCCTGACCAACCGCAGGCATGGCGAGAAAAGCGTGGCATACGCCGAAAGTCACGACCAGGCCTTGGTCGGCGACAAGACCCTGGCATTCTGGCTCATGGACAAGGAGATGTGTACGTCCTTGGAGGCTTTCCGAATGATTGTCTATTTACCGGGATGCAGATACCCACATGTCTGATTTGACACCGCTTACCCCCATCATCGAGCGTGGCCTATCTCTGCATAAGACGATTCGGTGAGAAGGGTCTCCAGGTCCGCTCATCGATGTTTCTGACTTCGTTGTAGTCTCATTGTGCACGCCCTCGGTGGGGAGGCGTATCTCAACTTTGAAGGGAACGAGTTTGGTCACCCAGAATGGCTCGACTTCCCTCGTCAGGGCAATAACAACTCGTTCCACTATGCCCGTCGCCAGTGGAATGTAGTCGATGATCACTTGCTGCGGTACAAGTATCTCAATGAGTTTGACAAGGCCATGAACTGGTTGGAGGATAAGTATCATTGGCTGCGCTCGCCCCAGGCCTACGTATCGCTCAAGAACGAGGTAAGAATCCGACCCTTGGATCCCAGCACTTGCTGAACATCGCTGCAGGCCGACAAGGTGATTGTATTCGAACGTGCTGGCCTTCTCTGGATTTTCAACTTCCATCCCACTCAATCATTCACGGATTATCGGGTTGGTGTGGACACACCCGGCAAGTACAAGGTCGTCCTATCGAGCGACGAAAAGAGGTTTGGCGGCTTTGACCGCATCGACATGAATGGCGAATACTTCACCACACCGATGTCGTGGAACAACCGGGCGAACTGGCTGCAGGTCTATATCCCAACCAGGACCTGCCTGGTTCTCGGGCTGTAATTGAAAGCATGATCAAGCACACGGACTGCAAAATGAATCAAAAAAGGCGCTTGAATATACCTTCGTTCGAGTTTCTTAGGTATATACAAATTGTTCGAATGTAAATAACCTGTCCGTCTGAACGAGAATGAACGTCATTGCACATGCTGGTCGTAGAACACGAATCTGAGCTAAGAATACAGTGAAGTAACTCTTCAGGACCTTGATTTTCTACTCAAACTCAATCTCATCATCGCCCTCAGCAAAGTCACCGTCATCCATGTCGTTCGGCTGCGGGAGTATGAGCGTTATGTTCCATATTGGTAGAGCCACGTACCTCCTTTGGCTCCTCATCCTCCCCATACTGCAGCATATAGTCAATGTGTTCCAATATCGCTTGAAGCGAATCCTCGTCTGTCACATCCAACGGAAGGAATTGTACCATGTTGTGGTCTTCAATCTGTACCAATGTCAGTCATATCGCAGAGGTTGAACGCCAGGCGAGGCACGCACCAACTGCACAATAGCCTGGTTCAACGAATGGAACTTCGGATTCGTCTTCGCAGCAGGCTCATCAACCAGCAACAGCGGGTCCGTCTCCATATACCGCTGTATCAGCCCCTTCCTCATCTCCGCATTCTTCCCCCCTTTCTTCGCCACCAGGTCCATCTTGCTAATCAAGTTCAGGTGCGGCACTTCGAGGTTCACCATCGTGCTCATCGCGCTCATCACCCCGGAAAAGAACTTGGACCGGTCTTCCATGAACTGGGATTCGAGCAGGTAGACGGCACATATTCGTATGGATTGGATGGCGAGATGTGCGATTAGTTTTGGGAGTAAGGGATGGTGTGTGTAGAGTTCGATCTGGCCTGCCGTGTCGTCAGCGGTTGACTTACAACAAACGGGATTGCATATACCAGGACAGTCTATTATTAAGTAGTCATTATCATATTCCCCAATCTCCTCATCCAGCCAGTCAAGATTTTCTAGTAGATATCTACTAACTGTCAGCTGTACGTAACTGTGAAAGCTTGTCGTTACGCACTCAAAACAATACACCAAGCCTCCGTTCGGTCCGAGACGCATCTCCTCCATAACATCCTCGAGCGATATCAGTTCCCGTATGTCTATCGTGGGCTGGACATGATACTCGGATGGGCCGATGGCTGGATCAAGGTTGAACAGGTGGACGGTCCGCTTCATCGTTGCCATATGAGTCAGGAGCGCGGTACAGAAAGTCGATTTTCCTGAGCCAGCCGGCCCTGCGTCTCCATGTCAACTGTCCATCCTGACTGATATTAATATCGAGAGCATACCGGTGACGAGAACGGCATAGCGCATGGTGGCTTTTCGTGACAGGAAGCAAGAGTTTAGGCGCCCAAGTGAAGGATGAGGTGGCTGTTCACCGGGCCGAGGTGGTTGGGAAGGGCATGCCTCTCTCGTGCTCTGACAACGACGCTTGTGCCTGCTTTCTCCGTCTCACTCTCTGAGGGACTTCGCTGTCTGCAAATGGTCCTTGCTCGCTGACTATGGAGACTAGACAACACGACATAGCCGGCTTGACGCAGGTACGGACACGAGCATACACATGAGGCTGAGACGTGAGTGATGGCTGGCAGGATGGCTGGATAATGTCTGCCGCGTCTTAAATGCTCCTCTGGGCGCGCAAAGATTTTGCACGTCAACCGCTGTCGCTGCAACTGTATCTTTTTCCCATTGACGCCTTTGTTACCTGGATGATTCCCTACAACGACCCGTGTACGGCACTGGCAAGATGCCCCGTCGAGATCTGGTGCGAGATCCTGCGGTACGCAACAGAGGCGGAAGGCCCGGACATGCAGGAAGACCCGTTGCGCATGGAGCGCTTCTACCTCGAGGGCGCGTATAGCGACGAGATTACGGACGCGTACGAGGACAGGCTGAATGCTGTGGTCGATATGCGCAACTTTGCTGCTGTCTGTCGACTGTGGCACGCTATCCTGTACCCATTGAGACTCCGATGGGTCATCCTCAACCAAAAAGACCAGCTGAAAGGCGTTTCCGACTCCGTCAATAACCTATGCAAGCGAGAGCCCGTTGGCCGATGGACAAAACGACTTGAAGTGCGCGCACGGATCACCCACGGGGAGCTGATGGAGCGGTTCGACGACCCACACGGGCGCAAGCAACCCCCCATTGCACGCATGCTCCAGTGCTGCCCGCAACTAGAAGAGTTCATCAGCATGACCTCAGCGCTTTCCTACCCCGCCCTCTGCTCAGATCTGATCACCAACTGCGGGCGTACGCTCCGCACGGTCATCCTCCGCTCTTCCAACGCGCAGCAATTCGACGACATTGTCAACTTGCTCCTCTACTGCCCGAGACTCGAATACCTCCATTTCGGCGGGCCGAGGTACGACCCTCCCACCACAAGCGCGGAATGGGATCATCCAGGAGCGAGATTCGGGCGTTCCCTGAACCTGAAGGACATCCCGCAGATCCTGTTCACCCGGCGACTTGCCCTCCGTGTCCTTATCTGGGAAGTGAAGCACTCTGACCCTTCAGAGCAGCTGACGTTCGCCCGCCTGTTCGGCATGCTCAGGCTTCCCCGGCTCCGGCACCTAGGGCTGCATATGAACGAATGGAGTGGGGTGGTAGACGACAGCCAGTTCATGCAGAGCCAGATGCTCCCCATGCTTTCCCAGCCTGGGGTTTCACTCTCCTCTCTCTCGCTAACCCGCACCACCGCGGGCGCGCGAAATCGGCACTCTTTGGCATTCCTCGAGCTCTGCCCTAATCTGCACACACTCGCATTCCACTTACCGCATACGAGCGCATACGACCTCTCGCTCTACCTCCGCGCGCCGCTCTACTGTTTACGACACGTGGTGCTCCATGAATTCTTCTACAACCCGCCCGAGTTCTCCCCTTTCCTCTTAGCAGAGCACACGAGCACAGTACTCCGGATATTCAAGCTCCTGTGCCGGCTGACCCTCTTCCCGAACCTGTGCTGGATCCAGCTCTCAGACGTCCACGCAGTGTCGGACGAAACCCGAGTACTCAGAGCGTCGCACGGCGATTTCCCCGAGGAGTACAGGGGCCTAATGCATATCCTGCTTAGGCTCGCGCATGTCAGGCGCTTGGCGTTAGTGGACGGGGAAGGCATGCATATAGGACCGGACTTTGCCAGTCCGGCATGGTACTACGCCTGGGGGTGGGAGGGGATAGGCGTCTCGGGCTCGGTGGGCTGATCCTGCCGTTCTTGGTGTTTGGTAACCTTGTAGCACTGTAATACTGCCTTTTCTTGGATGTCATCTAATGCACCGTTCGATCTTGTTGATGTGGGAAGCAGAAACAAGATAAATAAGAACCGACAACCCAATAATAAGGATACACGATGGGGTGTGTCTACTTTGGATCACAGGCAGGTGCGATGTCCTTCTCTCTTCCGACCAGTACAAGTATGTATCAAGAAGCCTCTCACGCGTGTTCCTCACGCGTTCCTCCGGTATCACCCTCCCACTAAACTTGCGCCTCACGTCCTAACTCTGAGCGCTAGCACACCCATGCCTGATGCGCCGAAGCTAACCTAACATATGAGTGGGTCATACCTCATCCTAGGGCCGAAAGCGCCGTCCCTCGTCTGGGGGAGAGAGATGCTCGCGAACCAGGATTCGAAGATCGACGGTTCCTGTTTTGGGGGACGAGACGTCTAGGAGTACATGAGTGTGCGTTGGATGGCGTGAGAGGGAGGGAGAGGGAGGAGAGGGGAAGGATAAAGACGCACCGAACGTTTCCTCTCCGCTCTCTCGATCCACCAAACCTCCGGAACACTATCAAACCGAATGACCCTCTCGTCTCTCTCCTTCCCCTCTCTCCTCCCTCTCCCTCTCTCACACCCTCCTTCCTCCCCCTCCGATCCAGACTCTTCCGGATCAGGGGAGCAGAATACGGCGCCATCTTCGCTCGGTATGCGGACTTTGAGGATCGGGCGCGGGGAGAGAGGGGTGGACGCGAGAGAGCGGTAGGAGGGAGGGACGTGTAGGATCAGAGGGGCGCGTTCTGGTCTAGGAGAACGGGCGCCTGTTGGGGTAGAGCTGGGTGTTGGGGGCCAGCGGGGTTCCTTAGACGGAGGGAGGTGACATGGGAGGAGGGGGGTGCGGTGCCAGGGGATGAGAGAGCGGAGGGATTGGAGGATGGAGAGAAGGAGGTGGAGGGGAGAGAGTAGGAGGTCGTGTAGTTGTTCGAGGTGGGTTGGGGTGAAGGTTGGTGAGGGAGGAGGGGAGAGGGCTGTCATGCGATGTGTGCTTGGTGGGAGAAGTGGGGAAAGGCGCAAGTGGGGCAAGTGGGCGTAAAAGACGTAAAGTTGGCGTTATAGAGCGCTCTAATTGTGCGAAATTGATATTCTGATGAGTGATGATTTACAAGTTGATAATTCGTACCCGAGTCGCTGACGAATTGTTGACGAATTGAAGTAAAGAGGGAAATCTGACAACGAGAAAGAGGATGAAGAGGTTGTAACTGCGGGAATGAGCAGGAGAAAGTGACACGGCGATGACAGAGAAGGAGTCACCGGTCTATTATCATGAATGGTAATAAATAATAATAATAAGAGTGATCGGTCGGAAACAGCGCGGATCATCGATAGAAGCACAGAGCATAGCCACTAAAAGCATTTAACCAAATGTATCTCTAGAATAGGGATTACTCTTGTGAGTCTTCACCATCAGTCATGGCCACCAGTTTGGCAGTGATAACCAGCGACAAGGACAAGGCTGATGTCGTATACCTTCGTTCACTCCTGGGTGAACACCCAGACTTCCCCAAACCCGTACGTTCCCAACTCACAGCTCCATCCAACTGCTCACGACAAATGTATGACAGGGAATCGTATTCCTCGACATATTCCCCATATTCCGCTCTCCCCTCGCGCTCGAAACACTCTTCACCCACCTGATGCATCATATTACAACTGTCACGCTTCCACAGAACAAGATTTCAAAGATTGACGTCGTTGTGGGGCTTGATGCGCGGGGGTTCTTGCTTGGCCCGCCACTGGCGTTGAGGCTTCATGCCGCGTTCGTTCCTATCAGGAAGAAGGGGAAGCTACCGGGGAAATGTGTACAGGCAGAGTACGAGAAGGAGTACGGGAAAGTGCGTTCTTCACCTTCCCTCCTCTCCTCCCCTCTTCTCTCCTTCTCCTGGAAGACGCTGGCTGACGCTTCGCAGGACATATTCGAAATGCAGGCCAACTCGATCCTCCCCTCCCAGAACGTGATCGTCATCGACGACCTGATCGCCACCGGTGGAAGCGCAAAAGCCGCAGGGGAGCTGATCAAGCTCCAAAGCAGCAAGGCGCTGGAGTACCTGTTTATTGTCGGACTGCCGTTTTTGAAGGGGGCGGAGAAACTCGATGCTCCGGCTTATTGGATGGTTGAGGGCGACTAGGGCAAGTAACGGGCAGTAGTGGACGATGAATAGATCAATGAATCAATTATTAGATAAAGGATACAGGACCCTAGTCCATAAGCACCGTATTAACCAGCGGTTTCCCATCCACGAACAGGTACTTCCCCTCCCCTGCACCCTCTTCCCGGCTCTCAACATCAACGTTCACCCACATCTGCCCCCCTTGGCCAGACTTTGCCAGCCGTTCCAAGATCCCCGCGCTCGCGCTCCGGCCGAGTATGATGAGCCACGTATCCCCCTCTTGCCATTCCCAGGCTTCCCCTTGCCCCAGACTGGGCGTGATACGCTCGACTTCGCTGCTCAGGACGATTACGCCCCGCGCGCCGCTCGCTTTTGCCGAAGAGAGCTTGTCGAGGAAGTTACACTCTCCCCGCTGGACGAGCCATATTAGCGGCGGGACGGGGTCGGCGATTTCAGGTAAAGGGACACAGCCGAACCCTGACGGGGGAGAAGCGGGGATGACGAGCCTCGCCGGCTCTGGGAAGCGGACAGGCAAAGGACCGAAGGACGCTGTCCACCCGTCTGCTGTCCATTGCGCCCTGGAGAGTTCGGGGTCCGCGGGATGCCAGATGAGGGAGAGCTTGGCCGTGTCTGCCGGTACTGGCGCGGGGTTGCGCAGGATACGCGAGTCGTTTATGTATACTTTTTGGCCTGTTAGCACGCGATGCGGCCCGACTGTTACGGTTGGTTAGCGGGGTTAGGAGGGAGGCAGAGGGTTGCTCACGCTTCGTCATATCGTATCCCCTGTCATCTAGCCGGCGCACAATATGCGCCCGGATACCCGTCAGGTCGTTAATGATGAACCCGTCTTTGACCTTCTTGAGTTTCTTAGGCCCAGGGGACATGTCCTCAGGGTAAGGCTTCCCATCCGTAGAGAGGATAAAGTCGAAAGCGTATTCCTCGACTTGGGTGAGCTCGCACCATCCTTCTGCGTCCCACCATTCCTGCCCTGTCTCCGGGCCACCGACAAGATGTCGTGCGATCTCGACGTCCACCCTGTCCCGCACGCTGCCCACAATGCCCGGACTCCAGTGGTCGTCTTCTCTTATACCGACCAGCGGGGGGAGATAGACAGGGCAGGAGAGCTTCTCCGCTTGCCGTTGATGGCGCCTTCCTGCTGGGGATCGCACCTTTTGTTCGGGGAGGATGAGGGGATGGCCCTCTGTGGTGAACACAAAAGGCGTGTTCTTGACATGAAACGGATGGCTTTCGTCGAATAGCAGGTATAGATACTACGCAACTTTTAACGAAGGCAAGATTGGATAATGTCACGCCCACCTTGAGTGTTTCAGATAATACAAATGATTCCATCCGGTCTGATAACTGGCCCGTCTCGACATTCTGAAGACAGGCTATTCCACATTTGACGGAGGTTCGACGCTGCAGGTCGCTCAAGACCCTCGCACCCACGTCCAGGTAGAAGGGGTCTTTTGTTGCACGATATAAGAAGTAGGTCGATTCCACGAACTCTGGGTGTGGATAGTGAGCCGTGTCCAAAGGAGGAGAGTCAGCCTTACCTGGCCGCAGCGGGTAGCCTTTAATTTCTATTTCCTTGTTGATAATGTTGAACCGTTCTGGCATTGCAGAATATCTCCTCCAAAGATTCCAATCTGGACCCTCTTAAGAACCAGTATGTAGAAGGGGCTGGGAACTCACAAACTAGATGCGATTTGATTGCGTTTTGAATGTCACCGCCCAGGACTTGAAGACCAGGCCAGAATGCAGAGAGTGAGTCAACATATACAGATGCAAGAAGTCCAGAATCCATCCAAGTATTACGAAACTAGCTGATATCAACTTAAATCCATGAGAAGGTGTGGTACGCACCCAAAATCCCTCTCTTCCCCGAATATGCTTCATCACCGCGGCGTAGCTCTCATGCCACACGTCGAGAAAGTCCGGCTCTCCCAGAAGTATGTACGACTTCAACGCGTACTCATAGAAAGAATCAATGCCGGCTCCAATACCGCTCATCAGTGGTGACACCCACACCTGGCACGTCGTCAGTAACAGCATATATGCAGGCAATGCAAATCTTACTCCGCTAATAACATTGATCGAGTTTCCAACAAGGTTCAGGTCAGAACGCCTGTTCCAAATAGAATAGAACGCTCTGCGAGCCACCTTCTCATAAATCGGCTTGTCCGTTAATCGACTCAACGTTGCAAACTCTAGGACCAAGGAAGCGACGCCAGCGCTGCACGACTCGGACGTCTCACCGGCCGGTACACCGTGGCGCAGATTGACCTTGAAAGATTCAGGTCAAATTGAGGGGAAGAAATAATATGACAGACCCTAGCATACGGCATTCCGGTCGGCGTATTGAACGCTTGCAACAGCCTCTTCCCCAAATCCTCCGCTAGCTCCAACAGCTCCCCTTTGTACAAGTCCACGCGCATACCATAATCCTCACTGATAGCGAAGATATGCGCGGATAGAAGACCGCCAAGAACGCGAATTGTCGTCTCAAACACTTGCGGTCGCGCGTCTATGTCGAACGTCGGCACGTATTGGAGTACGTTGTGCACGCTCTCGGAGAATCTAGCGCGGTCGCCCAGCACAACAAGAGCGGAAAGAGAGTCTATCAGTGTGACACTGAAATTTCCGTTCACGTCATTAATGGCGATGTTGGTAGGGTCGTGCCAATCGGGCCCTCGACCATGGCAGGTCAATGGTTGCAGCTAGGATTGTCGGCAGACGTTCACTTCAGTGGGTTGGCAACACACCTCGTCAAATGGAAACGCTGGATACAACGTAAGTGCTGGTGATGTACAACACACGGGAAAACGTACCATTGTTCATGTAGGCATCAAAACCATGGTACCACAGGTCTCGTACTTGATCCCTTCGCACGGCGCCCATCAGCAGGTTGTCCTTGACGAGGGCTTAAGAAACGCACCGGTACCCCAACTTCTGGCTATCTGTCCATCTCGTCGCTTCTACAGGTGATTTTCCCAGATGATATAATATAAGCAGAAGTGCTGCTCGTCGCCATCTTTGCCAGAGCATGGGCAGCTCGGATTATGGCTCGCTCTGAGGTGAGAGCAGCACACGTCTCACGCGACCTGGGAACCCTTAGACGTGTAACAGCGGACTTCTTCACTGCCACTCGGTATGAGGCTATGGTGAACGTTCGCGGACAGCTCATTTGGGGTCCATCACGCGGCTGTGCGTCGGTGATAAGCCCCATGCGGTCCCTCCCATAGGAAAAGGGCGAGGGTCCAAATGCTGTGCATTTTACCCCCGTCCGGAAGCAAAGAGCGACGCACCCCACCAAAAAAGGAAAGGGTCGTCCTAAAAAGGCAAGCGCAAGATGCACATCTGTGAAAGTGCATGCAAACATGTGTATTTGCACACAATGGAATTGCACATGCACGTTTTGTTTATAGGGCATGTAAAAATGTATTTAGCACTAGCTAGAACAATGAGAATGTTCTTTTTTCTATCTAAATTGGCCATTTATTGAGAAAAAGGGAGAAAAAGGAGGAATTAGGGGGGGAGACAAATCCAATTCTTTGGCAGCCTAAATAAGGGTTAGCTTTGCTAACAAAGGAAGGTTAGAGACTCACCATTAGGCATGCAGGGTTAGTTCAGAAGTCTTCATGAGGGAAGACAAGACCAAGGAGGTGCCAGAGGAAGGGGATGAGCACCATGGTGTAGAGTTTGAAGGCCATTTTGATGGCACACAGGACCAGCCAGAGCAGGTAGGGGATGAAGAGGGTGATCATCTTCATAAGGAGGGCAAGGATGGTGTAGATAGACATGTTTGTTGGGGCTGGGGAGGGCTGGGAGGCATCTGGGAGGGGTCGGGAGGTTGTGGTTGGGAGGAGAGGGACTGCCAGCAGCCTGCGTGCCCTTTGAGCCTGCTGGTGCTGCCCCAGACAGTGAGCGGCAGTGCCAGGGTGCACACTGAACAACCCCACCTCCAGTAGGGTGTGTCAGGCTGATATTCCTATGGCTATTTTTGGGCCTTAGAGACCATTGCGCAGCACTATGGACCCTTGCGATGCAGGACAACACACCCCAGTGATGAGTCTTGACTCCCACGGATATTCGGCATGGTGACTACTAGGATTCCCCAGGCAATGGGACCCTTGGATATTTGGCATGACAACAGCAGGTTTCCCCTGCAATGGGATTGACCCACATGGATATTTGGCATGCCAATGCTTGCCTTAGAGAGGTATCTGGAGACTGGTTTAGTATAGAATACAGTTTATGGTAGCTAGTATAAGTAGTTTCCAGAAACTCCTGTATTTAGCTTATTCTGCCCCCTTTCTGTTAGTGATTATACAGATCCGATTATCCCCTTACTGGATAGGCAGATTTGACTTGACTCAGCATACTTGACTTGACTTATTGCAACACTTGACTAGATGGACACCAAGCTCTGATTTACTGACTAATTTCCAACAGCTCAGCTTCAGGCTGACTCCAGCATTTCTACCAATTTTCCTCATCTCTCCCCTCTTTCCCTAGTGAGTTCTTGCACACCACCCATTGGACTGATATTTTGGACACCTCTTGGGTTGGATCAGCACACACTGTGCACACACCCTGGCTAGGCCATGGCAGTGTCGACAACAAAAAAAATTGATGCCCCACACTGGCAGCAGCAACAGTGACAGTGGCAGTGGTAATGGCGAGACCCTGTTAGGCTTGCTTGCCTGCTTTGTGTTCGCATACTCAGTGTTCAGCAGTCCATTGCTTGAAGCCGATGACATGATGAGGAGCAGGGGGGGTTGCCAAGCTTGCAGGGTTTTTGATTTTTGTCATTGGGGTGGAGGCGCAAGGGGGAGGGGAAGAGGGAGGAGGAGAGAAACAGGGAGGGAGAGGGGAAGAGGGAGGAGGAGGGGAAGAGGGAGGAGGAGGGGAAGAGGGAGGAGGAGGGAAGAGGGAGGAGGAGGGAAGAGGGAGGAGGAGGGAAGAGGGAGGAGGAGGGAAGAGGGA